CTCGTGTCTGCTTATTGATGAAAAACATTGAATTATCAATTAATGCCGAGGTTAACAGAAAGTCGGTCATGGGAATATCTCAGCATTATATACGAAAAAATCGAGAGTTATTTTCCAGATGAGAATACGTTAAAGCAAACGCTGCCAATATTCCTTTTTTTCCTCACAAATGAAAAATGTCTCAGTTTCCCGGATCAACTTCCTATTAACCTCGGCATTGGATTATAAATTCGTCGTTTTCTTTCTCAACAATCGCGAGGTTGTTAAACAGCATACGCCTACATACAGTAACACCCAAACAACACAACCGTAGCTGACGTTCCGGTGGAATCGCCTTCTTCAGAGCCTGGAAGGGTGCACTAATACGCAACTTACTAGGTCAAACGCCTCAGCAACACAAATAGAAGGATGAAAATCTGCACGATAACTACAAGATCAACGGCTTCTCGACAAATCTACCGCTTTTTTTCACCTGTCTTCCATCGAGGAAGAACAGCCGCTAAGAGTCGCATATGGTTAACGACTGCACCACTCCCCATCAACGATCGATGCGGAGGTACGGGGCGAGACTACGCGTGATTTCAGGGCATTCCTCGTTGCCGTTCATTGTAAGGTTTTGGCATCTATCCAAAAAGCCTCGAGGAGTTTGCGCGCTGGTGTCTTAGTCTCCTGTGGGTTTTTCGAGAACCCGTTGATCATGTTATTGCCATAGAGGTTTACGTCTTTTTGTAAGTGTTATTGAAGCGTTTGACCTAATAAGTTGCGTATCGGTGTACCCTTCCAGGATCCGAAAAAGGCGATTTCGCCGAAACGTCAGCTACGGTTGTGTTGTATGTGTTATTGTATGGAAGTAAACGTATGCTGTTTAACAACCTCGCAACTGCTGAGAAGGAAAACGACGAAAAATGTCTTGTCATCAAACTGGCGTACGCTAGACTTCTCACTTTTCGGCTCTTGCAGAATGATGGCATGGAATCTGCTGCGTCAAGAAGAGCGTAAAGGTTGTCACCTGAAGGGAATGTTATGATGTTACAGATGCCCAGCAAGAGCAAGTGACCATGGTGTGTGATTGGTGTGGCTCTTAAGTCCATTTCCGTGATGCCCTGTGCACCCGGAGTGTGACGGCTCACAGCGCAAGATATGAAGAGCGTTCGCAAGAGTGGTTAAGAGCGAAGAATTGTTTGTAAGGTACCTCAAACTTGGGCAATTGAACCCTTATCCGCATATACATACTATTTACACAACAATGCAGTGAGATTTGTAATGTATGTACAAAAATTACAAATTAGATTAAAATTACAATGTAACGGCTCACAGCGCTAAAATATGGAGAGCGTTCGCAGGAGTGAGTAAGAGTGAAGAATTGATTGTAGGGCACCTGTGAGCAATGAAAGTATTTAGCATATGTTAACACACACAAGGTAATTACACGAGAATCAACGATAGCATTAATGTATCAGCAATGCAAGAGCTAAGGATTACATTTAATATCATTACGACCTAAGCAAATGAATCTGCAAGGAAAAATCAAGCGGGAGGGAAATAATGATAGAGTTGGCGACGGCGATCTCCAAGGCGTTGTCTGGTCAGATGACGGTGCTAGTGGGCGTGGCTACGTCCAAACGAACGACGTGCCCAATGGCTAGAATGGGACATGGACGCAGGGGACACGTGCGGCGTTGTACCAACGCCGTCTCCATCGACCCATAGAATGTATTACTTAGGTAGATAGAGAATTCTCTACCTGATAGAAGAATTCCCTATACGGAGATTTGTTCATCGGACACCGGTTGTTTCACGACCCCAGAGAGAAAGGCCCAATGCGCAAGATAATGAGGCTAGTTTTTCGCTGGTTGGGCTATTCACAGTTTTTCGGTGTTGCGAGGTCGGCCTATCTGCAGCCTTCACCGGATTCACCACAGACAACTGCGGGACCACGTGGATCAGAGGGATATTTCCCACCTCGCGACCAATTTGATGGTAATTCGTAACACTAGTTTACTCTTTGCTCGATATCCATGAGAAAATATCGAACACCTTCCCAGCTTGGAACACCCTACTAGATGGATTATCGTCCTGCTCTACTTCACAGTCTGTCATCCAAGAGTATTTCTCATCCAAGATGACTGAGTAAATCATTAGGAAAAAAGTACAAAATTCTATCAACTGTCGAAAGCATAATGTTTTAAACTCTTTTTGCAAAAATATATTTCTTTTGAAAAATGAGCGCTTTAATACGTTGACTAGTCCGATTTCGTTTCTTCTAGCTCTGCTTCGACTTCGTTTTGGACGAAAAAAAAACTTTTTTTTCCTACTTATACCAAGTTGAACCTTTTCATTATTCCATTGTTCCATCAACTTTTATTACATAGCACACTTGACATAGTAAGTACTATATTGTTTGGTACTTTCGGATGTTTCTGATTTTCCGTGGCATTGTCGGAATGGGTCAGGTCTCCTATGCAAGCGTGTGTCCCTCGATTATTTCGGATATGTTTCATGGCAAACAAAGAAGTCACATGTATATGCTGTTTAGTTTTGCCATGCCTATCGGAAGGTTAGTCAGTTTTATTCCTGGAAAGTATGGCGCGTCGTCTCGTAGAGGTGAATGAATGCATATTTACCTGCACGATGAATGACTTGTGGAGATTTATCGATATATGAATTGGTGTAGTGTACGCTGTCAGATAAGGACGCGTGTAGCGCAGTGCTCGGAAGAGCCCCATAATACATATAGAATCGACCCCGAGCTCTAGGTTCACCAATCCTTCCATCTCTCCGAGGTCGGCAAATTGGTACCAGACTTGGCTGAGAGGATAGCAGCACTGGCTCCACACAATTAGTAGGCGGCAAGTCATTGTAAAAGTCAGGTTTGCATTCAATCCCCTCGAATTATGCCTATTGAAGTCGTATGCATGGTGCATTTCCAGTTTTTGATCAACGCCGAGAGCTTTATCTTTTTTTAATAGTGTCACATGAATCTTTCAGCGATTTTCCGACCCAAGAGAAACGGAAGGGCTTTTATAAGCATGTACAGTCGAGCCAACGATAACCCATGTAATGCAAAGCCTTCATAATGCAGTAGTTTTAAAAACTTTGTGAAAAACTCCGGTTCCATAACATGCCTAGTATTGCCAGAAGTGGAGCAATTTCGTTTGCAAACGGACTAACCGTGAACTTGAATATATTCATTAGCGCAAAAATTACCCGAATTCACGATATGAAAGACACGGCATTCTCTCTAACCTTATTTTTGTGTTTTTTTCTGGAATCCTTATTGCAGTGGGCTTGGTTTCGTGGTGGGAACAAACATCACCAGTTTAGCAGGCGCTTGGCAGTGGGGAGTTCGAGTAACCCCAATCGCAGGTAAGGAAAGCTCAGCTCTGCTCTATTCATATGTCTTCCAGCAAAAAGCAAGTATTGAATTTGAAGGAATTACTGTATTGTCGTTGCTGACAATAGTTCTTGGCGAACCGAAACGTGGTGCAGCAGAAGAAGTCAGTGGAGTACATCTACGGCGAGAAGGCACGTCATCACTTTGGGGAGATATCAAAGCGCTCGCTCTCACGTGGGAGTTTTTCTAAGATCGTAAAAAATTTCAAGGATCAAAAGCATCAAATTTCTTCAGACCAACCTGTTTTTTGCTTTAGTGCCGCTACATCATTGATGTTCGTGCTGGGGACGTTGGGGTGGTGGGAGCCGACGATTGTTGACCACTCGGTTGCTTGGAATTTGGGCGTTAGCGATACTCGACTACTTCCGAATAGTAAAAAAAAAAGCGAGTGGGTGTCACCTTTCCATGCGGGTCATACCGCTCTACGTTCGACATTTGCTGAATGTCAACTAGTCATAGCAATCATAATCTTCTACAAAAATCAGAAGGTTTTATCTCTGAAAGGATGGACTACATATCTTTTCATCGATTAGATTCTGAAACGACTCAGTCTGCGCCCTATCTCCAAGGAACTACCTCGTCGAAATGAAAATTATTTTATAGCTGGAAGATGAAAGATGCTGGAAGATGAAAAATTTGGATTTGAGAAAAGTTATAATGCGGTTTTTTCCAGAATAATTCTAGCAACTGCGTCTATTTTCTCTACAATGATAGACAGAAGAGATTAATCGAAGTACAATGAAAATGAGGAAATCGTTCAGAGATTCAATATCTAATCCAAATGATCTCGAACACTGCTATGCACTATCTACTGTTTAAGAAAAAGAATCCGTTTAGAGTTGGTTTGACTTTCGGGGCCATAACAACCACATCGGGTCTTATCGGTACAGCAATGAGCACGTTTCTATCTGGAGAAAGTCTTATTTCGTTATCTGTTAATGAACTTTTTGCTTATACAAAGATATGCTGCTCAGTTTTTGTTCTTTTTTAATTTTATGATTTTTCAGATGATACGTGAAGGTCGTGGTATTTTCCATCCAGTAAAGACAGAACGAGGATCACCGATTGTCTCCGGGATGAGGATGATGATAGCGACACCGCTCCTACTCCTTAGCGTTATCGTTGGTCATAAGAAAACCACAGTCCTATAAGTACTTTAAAAGAATAAGTGATAAAGCACTCCCTGTTGACTTCTTGACTAGAGATTAATCACGTATTCGACTCTATTAAGGCTATTAGAAAGAACTAGATGCCTATCCTCTACAATGACTGGCAGTACTAAGTCGCTGTTTTATTTCCTCCCCGATTAGTTTACTTTGCCGACCACAGGAAGATGAAGCGCTTGCTTAGGTCGAAAGGGAGGATTGAGCCAAAAACCAAGTGGTCATCGCAAACCACCTCTGACCACCAGTGTAGCAGTGTCGCAAACCACCCACCAAACCACCAGACCACTAGGTGTGTCCTAACGCCACAGTAATTCCCTATAGTGATTCACTTTTCAACGTAAATCCCAAACGATTTCAAACTCTTTTGCTGCTTTGATAGCAGTGTTGTGAAATCAGTTACCTCTTTACATTAAAGTTCTACAAAAAAAACACTCACATTTCCTAAGCAGTCCCCGCATTAGATATCCAAAATTTTTCCTCTTTGACAGCCAATGGACCATTCTAGATTGTTTAGAGAGTTTCTTGGACACAAATGATGAAGATGATGAAAGCAGTGAAAGTATTTTAGAGCGTGTCGTTTTCTTGTTCAGCAATCGCGAGGTTTTTAAACAGCATACATTTACTTCCATAAAAACACAATACAATACAACGCTAGCTGACGTTTCGGCAGTATCGCCTTCTTCAGAGCCGCTTTTTTCGTGACTTCCAATATTCCAGAGCGTTGTCGTCCCTTGGAGAAGCGCCGCTTTTTCTTATTACATGGTGCTTGCGCAATTTTTTTGTGCTATATCACCGTGTATTACTGGAATTGTAAGTTGCCACTTCTACTGGATTTTATAATTCGTCATATTGTTGCCCAAAATATTCGAGGTGGGAAACAGAATATGGAAGTTTATTCTTATAAAATATAACTTGATAGAGTTGTCAATAAAAAGATAAAGCATAAAGCTCTTGGCGTTGACCGATCCCTGAAGGATGCGCCATGCATTCGACTTCATTAAGCGTCGTTTGGAGGTGATTGAATGCAAATCTGGCCTTTACAAAGACTCGCGGAGGCCTGCCGATGTATCGACCCGGTGCTGCTATCCACCCAGACAAGTTTGGCACCATTCTGCCGATTCTAGAGGGATAGAAGGCTTGGTCGGCTATGGGTGCGGGAATCGATTCCACGTGTATGTTGCGGGGCTCCTCCGACCACTGTGCCACACGCGCCCATAGAAGTTGTTCAATAGTTTTTATAATTTTAAATTTCAATTGCTTAATTAAATTAAATTTAGTTTTTCTTCAATTTTTTAAGTTTGATTTCAGTTCATTGTAGATTTTAATTTTAGTAATATTTCTAAATTTTTTTATATTATTTTCGCTGCGATGTCTAATTTCGCTTTTCTGCCTCAATGAACGACGCCCAGTTTTCTGCTTTTGCGAACTTGGGGGTTTTTGAAGACAAAGGACATTTTTTTGGTAACTAGAGGATTTAATGGTTTGTGAACATGACGAAATTCTAGAAGATACTTTACTCGATCGTCGTGTAAGTATGAATGACATATACTTTGCTATCTGCTCCGTGTTAACATCGTCCGTTACACAAAAACATTGCCGTCAGCTCTTGGAAGTGTGTTTGAACTATACCTCTCTATTTCAGGATTTTTTGTGCATACACACTCTATACAGTGGCTATACTCAACAATGCAGTTAGAATTTAAATAATAGTCGATCATCGCTCAAATTTCTCAATGAGCTCATTGAGGGAGCGGTTTTTGTACGCTTCTAAGAGCAGAATAGAGATTTTCTTGACCAACACCCATGACAACTACTGTGTTCTACAAGCTATCGACTGATTACAAAATGTGTAAAAAAAGTTCTATGTATATTAAAATAAACCACCTGAAAGGAAATGAAACCAATGGAGATCATGCAAACCAGCATGTTCGAAGTGAGTCGTCCCATTAAGGTAAATCGTCACGGGAGTGTTGAAGGAGCATACTTTATTACATGGACAGGAGCAATCAATATTAACTCTAATTTATTGGAAAGCAAATAAAGAGTAAAGGAATAATGAGCTAATAGAACGAAAGGATTGATGTCTACTTTTAGTATATTGTCAGATTTTGGATTCTATTCGTGGAGAGATTAAGACACCCGAAACGCAGTATATTTCACTGGTGAAATTATTTTTTGCAAGTTTTATAATGCTGCTTATTTCTGGAGTACTGTATTTGATCTGTGCTACAACAATACTTGAGGACCAGACAAAGCTCAAAAAAGAAATGGGTAAGTATGACCAATGAAAAATTGTTTAAGTATTCCTATAATTCTAGTAATTCTTTGATATTTCACGATCTATGCGAAGAATAAACACGAGAGTATCGAAAAACATATTGATATTGCTTTTTCTCAACAAAAACATGGTTCAGTTCGTTATTGCAGGGATGGTAACTACCTCTCTGAATAAGCGAGCATCCTCAACGGAGAAGTTGAGCAAGGCACCAGAGTAAGATGGACATCGCGCCGCTACAGTGAGGAATATATGATGGCGACATAAATGTGAAAAAGTTGATGCATTGAAGTATGGCGGCATTTTGTTATAAAGAGATGTATACGGTTGTTCATAGCAGCTTGCTCAGATGAAAGTTTGGTGTAAATAGTTAGTGCATGTTGATAGTAGAGCCAATCTAATCAATAGATATGGTTACCATTTCCTTGTTGGTGACTAAGTGTAGATTTACACATTCGTTCCACGCAAACATGAGCTCGCAGATTAATAGCAAGATATTTAGTTTAGGTCATGCAAAATTTAGACCCTTAAAGGAAAAATTTATTTAAACACATAGTTGCTTAATATTTTTACTAAATCCCAAAACAGTCTTTCTACTAACTTCACCATTGATAAATAACTCACTATTTTTGATAAGTTTCCGCCTCCTTTAGAGCTTGGAAAGGACAACCTACTCAACCGAACACCTCCATAACCTCAAAAACCTGGTATCTAATTTTCAACCGCACTGGAAACAAAAAAGTGCATGCCAAAAACCACATTCTATGAGTATTGTTCCACGTAGGGGACCTACCATGTAGAGTTCTCATAAGATGGGTAGTGGGCATTAAAATATAAGTTTGAGATATTGTGAAAAACCGCTTCTGATAATGAAGCATCCCTCCTAGCCGTTCAATTTTAGATTCATGGAATTTATTTTATCCAATTTATAATGCAAATAACCCAAAAACGAACCACAGGGAGGAATGCCTCATTATCATATGTCAGTTCACGCAATATCCAACCCTGACATTTTAATGTGAGAGTTGTTCATTGCTCTTCCATGTTAGCTTTGTACTGCTGGCCTACACGTGGATTACTCAGCGGAAGACACGTAGAGAGCGTTGAGTGTGTGAAAAAACTTCTTTGTTTCCAACGCTATTGAAAATTAGGTATTGTGATTGTTTTGCTGAGGTTATGGAGGTGTTTGACTGACTAGGTCTCAGCTAGTTTAACTTTTCCAGGCTCCAAAGAAAGCCAAATCAGACGAAAACTGTAATTATGTTCAGATTTTCATTCTTCTGTCTGTGCTGTTGAAGCATTCGACCTAGTAAGTTGTGTATCAGTGTACCCTTCCAGACTCTGAAGAAGGTGATTCTGCCGAAACATCAGGTACGATTGTATTGTATATGTGTTATTGTATGGAAGTAAACGTATGCCATTTAACAACCTCGCGATTGCTGAGAGAGAAAACGACGAATTCATAATCGAATGCCGAGGTTAGTAGAAAGTCGATCCTGGAAACATCAGCTGTTGTGAATAAATATCAAAATAAATAGAGGTATAACAAATAAAATATTAATATAATATAACAAAACAGAAACGAAAATGATAAATACAATATTACAATATCTAATAACATAATGAATAAATAGTATATTATAAGAAGCTTTGGTAAGATTCAACGTGCAGCTTCTTGATATTATCTGATAATAACATAATATTTAATAGGACTAGTCTTCGTCAACTACTTATTTGCAAAAGACGCAG